CCCTATCACCTATTTACAATAGATTGATATTGAAGATAGTTACAATATTAAAAAAGTAGAACATAATAAGAAAATAGATCAATAAGAAAGTAACATAATCATAAAGTAGAACAATAGGAAGGTAACACTCTTAACACTAGGTAACAGAACAAAAAGGTAAGAAGACAAGGCCATGAAAGATAGGGTGACATGCACTTATGAGGCAGTAGGAAAGTAATGAACTCCATTTCTCATAGCACTTTTAGCATACTAGGTAAGATCTGATCAGATACCATTTCTCAGACAAGAAATCAGAACAAACCTATGCTCTATCAAAAGAACAGTAAAACAAAGTAGCCAAGAAAGAGAGAGAAAGAGAGGGGGGGGGTTACAAGTATCAACATCTTGGAAAAATGAACTCATTCATAAAGCACAAGTTAAGAAGAAATTTTACTCCATTTGGTTATTATTCATTCAGAAAATTACAATTTGGAATGCACGCAGCACAACTTTATTCAATCACCTCAAATCTTTCGAAAGATACACACACATATACCAAAAATACACATACATATACCAGTATTCCTGCTTCAGTAAGGATATCATGCAATATGATCCAAGTTGCAGTTTGTCAATACTTAGCTAACCCTCTAACCGGACAAATTATGGCTTGAAATCACCCAGGAACTAAGGTTTGCTTAGTCCTCTCTGGCAGATGGTTCAGGACGTCCTTCGTTAGATAAGGCTCACACCTTTCATGGCTTGACATGGAGATAAACTACATATCAAAGCATATCCAAAGGCATATAAATCCTGTAGCTCAGAGCATTGGTTAAATAGTAGAACCAGCACAGCATGCGGCCTGTTATCTTAGAATCAAACAAGCAACTTGCCCATCAACTAATTCCAATTCAATTGAAACAGAGGAAATATATGCAACATATGTGCTCTTATGTTTATATATCGGTTCTCAATTAAGAAATACAGAAATTTCATTTCATAAATATGCTGGTAAATATTCTTGTAACTTTAAACTCACAAAACAAAACTCACATTGGTTCCATGGAATTTTAATACATTAAACAAATCAATCCACATACACCAAGCCAACAGAACTTACATACACCCCATATTGAGTTCCATGGAAAAACATCTTGCAGAGGGACTCACTGAATCTGATTAACCTCAAAGATTTGCAGCTTAATGGTTCCTAGAAAACAGCAAACGCCAACCACATTAGTCTTCTGTACCTTTCTTTCCAGTTCAGTGCATTAAAGGTACTGCAAAAGACAATCCCATCTGTAGTTTTAAAAAATCATCAAAATTCCAAACTGATATTAGTACTTCTATTGCGCTACAACCTTTGATGTTATTGAGCTATCTGACTCGTGATGATTTCCTTGTTCCACATAAGGTCTAATGAAAGTCCGCCGCCACCAGACCTCAAAGGCCCTCTGAAGATTTGGGCNGCCTAGACTCCACTCATCCAAATATTTTGCTCTCATACCAAGTTAAAATTAGAATAATTGTATGTTGGGATTAAGAAAAAGAAATAGAAGAAAAAAAGAGAAAAAAACAATATTATAAGTAAGATGCGTGTTTTCAAAACCCTATCACCTATTTACAATAGATTGATATTGAAGATAGTTACAATATTAAAAAAGTAGAACATAATAAGAAAATAGATCAATAGGAAAGTAACATAATCATAAAGTAGAACAATAGGAAGGTAACACTCTTAACACTAGGTAACAGAACAAAAAGGTAAGAAGACAAGGCCATGAAAGATAGGGTGACATGCACTTATGAGGCAGTAGGAAAGTAATGAACTCCATTTCTCATAGCACTTTTAGCATACTAGGTAAGATCTGATCAGATACCATTTCTCAGACAAGAAATCAGAANAAGCCACTCAGAACACAGACCAAGAGAGGGACCCACAAACCAATTTCTCTTAAAAGAGAAACTGGCCGAAGATCTGGGTGTTGAAGGAGTTAAAAACTAACTCAATTCACCTGGAGGAGTTAAAAACTAACTCAATTCACCTTTTAGNAGAGAACAAAGACTTGTTTGAATAAATTTTTAGAGAAGATTTAATTAATTTCTCCAAACTCAAATCATTCTTTACAACAATAGGATTTAACATTGAATTCAGTTATGTTTGATATGTAATATATATACATATAGGACCTACAGATATATCATAATTATTAATAATTATTTGTCTCATAAATGACTATTTTATCCTTANAAGCCTATGCATGACGTCTATATAATAAAATAACTTACAATTCAAATTTTAAATGGTAAAAAAATGATTTTTATTTTTTGCAGTTGAGATCACTTTAAATTGTACTTAAAAGTTAATCTAACGACTAATATTAACACCTCAAATTTAATGGAAAAAATAGGTCATAAGGTGTGTTTAAAGTAACTTTTTAAAAATACTTTTAAAAATTATTTATCATAAATACTTTAAAAAAAATAGTGTGTGAAATCGCTCCACCACTACCTTTACTACCACCACCACCACCACCACCGCCGCCGCTACCACTATTATCACTGCCACCACCGCCTTCCCGGCCACCATCGCAGCCGTCGCCATTACCACCGCCACCACTATAACCATCGCCCTCGCCGCCACCACAGTCATTATCATCCACCACAGCTATCACGGTCTCTTACCACCACCACTGCCGCCCAACACCTCTTACCCTCACTACAAATCGATGTTTAAATTCCTTTATCTTTCCTCTATATTTGTGATTTGATTTTGGATATAAATACAAATATATTTATTATTTATCATNACAGAACAAAGACTTGTTTGAATAAATTTTTAGAGAAGATTTAAGTTAATTTCTCCAAACTCAAATCATTCTTTACAATAATAGGATTCAACATTGAATTCAGTTATGTTTGATATGTAATATATATGCATATAAAATCTATAGATATATCATAATTATTAATAATTATTTGTCTCATAAATGACTATTTTATCCTTAGTCAATCCAATTCATACTCATATTTAGGAGTACAATTATCTTTTGCATCCTTAATCCCTTAATCCATCTTCCCAAAACCACCCCACCCCTAGGCTTTGACAAAATCCATGATCATGGATTTAATATTCGAACAAGCTATGAGTCGAGTTTTGGAATTNAGTAACCATATGCCGAGTTGATTTGAAATTAAGCATAATGTATAAGCAGAACACAATTCCACAAATTTAATAGTAACCAATCTATAGATCAATCTTTTTATTAGAGCCTTTAATTCATCGCGTCCCCCAACTAATGTTGATGCATTTGTTACTTGGGCATCACATGTTCAAATCAAGAAATAAACCATTTGCCTCGAAAACTAAAATTGAATTGGGATGAAAATTCCCTTAACCAGCACCAATTTGCATCGAAAATTAATGAACTGACACTAAACTGGATTGAAAACACAAAGTCAGAATTGAACCGAACCGAAAACCACTAAACCAACAAGAAGCAGAGTTGAATATCATTGAAATGACAATAAAGTGGATTGAAAACACTATAATCTAAGCTTATGATTAGACACAAACACAGATTTTGACACCCCACAATAAATGATAAAGGCCACAACACCCGATGAACAATTGATGAAGACACCGACAATAAGAAACTATAACTTACAATGATTTCGGCGACGACAAAAGTTGGCGAATATATAGACGATTATAACTTGATATGCGTTAGCCTAGACTCCACTCATCCAAATATTTTGCTCTCACACCAAGTTAAAATTAGAATAATTGTATGTTGGGATTAAGAAAAAGAAATAGTAGAAAAAAAGAGGAAAAAACAATATTATAAGTAAGATGCGTGTTTTCAAAACCCTATCACCTATTTACAATAGATTGATGTTGAAGATAGTTACAATATTAAAAAAGTAGAACATAATAAGAAAATAGATCAATAAGAAAGTAACATAATCATAAAGTAGAACAATAGGAACGTAACACTCTTAACACTAGGTAACAGAACAAAAAGGTAAGAAGACAAGGCCATGAAAGATAGGGTGACATGCACTTATGAGGCAGTAGGAAAGTAATGAACTCCATTTCTCATAGCACTTTTAGCATACTAGGTAAGATCTGATCAGATACCATTTCTCAGACAAGAAATCAGAACAAACCTATGCTCTATCAAAAGAACAGTAAAACAAAGTAGCCAAGAAAGAGAGAGAAAGAGAGGGGGGGGGTTACAAGTATCAACATCTTGGAAAAATGAACTCATTCATAAAGCACAAGTTAAGAAGAAATTTTACTCCATTTGGTTATTATTCATTCAGAAAATTACAATTTGGAATGCACGCAGCACAACTTTATTCAATCACCTCAAATCTTTCGAAAGATACACACACATATACCAAAAATACACATACATATACCAGTATTCCTGCTTCAGTAAGGATATCATGCAATATGATCCAAGTTGCAGTTTGTCAATACTTAGCTAACCCTCTAACCGGACAAATTATGGCTTGAAATCACCAAGGAACTAAGGTTTGCTTAGTCCTCTCTGGCAGATGGTTCAGGACGTCCTTCGTTAGATAAGGCTCACACCTTTCATGGCTTGACATGGAGATAAACTACATATCAAAGCATATCCAAAGGCGTATAAATCCTGTAGCTCAGAGCATTGGTTAAATAGTAGAACCAGCACAGCATGCGGCCTGTTATCTTAGAATCAAACAAGCAACTTGCCCATCAACTAATTCCAATTCAATTGAAACAGAGAGGAAATATATGCAACATATGTGCTCTTATGTTTATATATCGGTTCTCAATTAAGAAATACAGAAATTTCATTTCATANGAGGAAATATATGCAACATATGTGCTCTTATGTTTATATATCGGTTCTCAATCAAGAAATACAGAAATTTCATTTCATAAATATGCTGGTAAATATTCTTGTAACTTTATACTCACAAAACAAAACTCACATTGGTTCCATGGAATTTTAATACATTAAACAAATCNAATATTCTTGTAACTTTAAACTCACAAAACAAAACTCACATTGGTTCCATGGAATTTTAATACATTAAACAAATCAATCCACATACACCAAGCCAACAGAACTTACATACACCCCATATTGAGTTCCATGGAAAAACATCTTGCAGAGGGACTCACTGAATCTGATTAACCTCAAAGATTTGCAGCTTAATGGTTCCTAGAAAACAGCAAACGCCAACCACATTAGTCTTCTGTACCTTTCTTTCCAGTTCAGTGCATTAAAGGTACTGCAAAAGACAATCCCATCTGTAGTTTTAAAAAATCATCAAAATTCCAAACTGATATTAGTACTTCTATTGCGCTACAACCTTTGATGTTATTGAGCTATCTGACTCGTGATGATTTCCTTGTTCCACATAAGGTCTAATGAAAGTCCGCCGCCACCAGACCTCAAAGGCCCTCTGAAGATTTGGGCAATTGTCACCAGCCCTCAGAAAACTGCCTAACCAAGCAATCAAAATATTCTGCTGGTCCTCTAGAGGTAGCGTGAGGATAGTCCTACCAATTCCCTCCTCCACAGCCTTCCGATCGAATGACCTGCATCCATGTTGTAACCAGCCATAGTCATTGATCAATGGCTGTAACCAGGTTTGTAACAATGCATGACGAGTGTCCTTTGATGGTAGAAGCTCCCCTCGTCCTATTCCAATAAAAAGCCTTGCTGTAATGCAGCTGATGTGGTGGCGAGAAACAATTGGGAGCTTTGTATGAAGGGAGGCCAACTCTGGCTGGCTAGCCCACACTACCGCAAACTCATCTGCTGCTTGCCTGTCAGCCAAAATCTCAAGTAACCATGAGAGGTTATCAGCCTCTAGAGCTATCTGCTTTACCACTGGTTCTTTGCAATTGATGGTTTTGTCAGTAAACTCTGGTTCAGCAGCTTGTCTGAACAGAGACAACAATGAATCCAAGCAGCTTCTACAAGAGCTATTAAGTGTGTCATTGCAGATGTCAACTGAGCCTGAAGAGCTTGGAAGACTGTTGTTCTCCCTAAGGAGTTTCAGTACAATGGATTTCATCTCACGGCGGCCTCTCTCCTCATTGCTCTTAAGCACCAGATCCAGTATGTGAGACAGGGTATCACTGGGAGGTCTTGAAGCATCGGAGGACACCCGTTTCAATACAGGGGTGACCCCAATTCCCTCACCCTGGAGCCGTAGAACTGAGGTAACCACTTTCTCTTCTTCTTCTTCCCCAACCCAAGGGACTGCTTCCAAGTACTCTAAACATGACAGTGTGCATGAATGGAACCCAAGTTGTTCCGCCACCTACAAGATAGTTTTCTCGAGATAAGAAAATGACATGTAAAGAAATAAAAATGAGCTCATATCTTTCAGGTTCTGAATCAAAACATCAGCCAAGGAGATTGGGGATTATATGGGAGAAGCAAAACATATTTATCTACCAAAAGGCAAAATCAAGGGACTGTTCTTGCTCTGACAATTTAAGATGGGTGAAGGTTTGGTCTGAAGTTCATGCAATGGGAAAAAACATGTCCATGCAATGACAACTCCTTGTCAAATACCCAGAGACCAAAACTTGCTACCATTAAGCTCCGCGACAGCTTACCATGGATTCTTTTTTGAATTTTGAATTTTGAACTGGGCTTACCATGGATGACAATCCAATTTTTCGTTTTTTTTTGCAGGGAAGGCAATATTTATGACAAAGACAACAGCAGTCCTCTTTTCATGCTCATTGTGAAGACAGTGCTACATCTCATGTGCTGGGCCAAAAAGCTCAAAGCATCCACTACAATTGGAGGATCAAACAGATGAAAGAGATTGCTTAACAATTAAACAAATAATGATTCCCACAATAGGCAGAGCATTATAGAAAGTTCGTGTTGATATTTTTTTAATTTTCTGGGTAGGGAAGCGGGTGGGCAAAAGGTGATCAAATGACTAGATCAGTCTACTGGAATTACTTTTCTTTCAACAAATTTAGGATACGTCATAGATTCAAGTCCGAGAATTAGTCTCTCAAAAATAGGTGGCAAGGCTGCCTACACGGTACCTATTTGTACAGGTACTATATAGAACACCCTACGAGCAATCAAGGGAAAGGCAAAAGCCTCACAAAACAAGCAAAAGATAACCTCGAAGTAAATGAATATAAATCGATAGTGCACCATTCTTATATTCGAATTCTCAATTTTCTCCAACTTCATTGCATCCGCCACAAGCATTTTATTTTAAGCTAATAGACATTTGTTAACATTACGATTAGTCAAGAACCTAATCATTGTTTCACTTAAACCCAAAAACGCAAATTTGAATACAATTATTATTATATGTTGCCTTGCTGTGGTCAGAAGTTGCAAACAATGAGACACAATGCTGTTCTTATTTCTTGAAGTCAAAGCCAATACAAACTAAACAAAAAATCACTATCCACATCATAACTGCAGTTAATTTAGAGTTGCAATGAATAACTGCAAATCCAATTACCTTAAGAATGCGCAGTACACGAGAAACGCTTTGCTTGATCAACCGCTGCTTCAATTCTTTGCAGTACATTAGCCCCACTGTTTCAACATACATTTCAACATCCTCACAATCATCAATTTCAAGACAGGGTAAAACAAGCTGCTCTCCCAATAATATGTTGGTGAAAAAATTGCTATTTTCCAAAAGAACACTCCTGTGAACACCCAATTTCACAGAAAATCCTTGCTTTCCGTGTAAGATTACCTTCAAATCGCTTGTTCTAGGTTCACCAAACTCAATTGACACCTTCCTTGGCACATTTTCAATCTTGGATCTTGGTGTTCTCTCAGTCACTACTGATGCACCAAGAACAGCCGCATCAGACCCTGAAGTTCTTTGCTCATCGGCAACAAGTCCCGACCTGGACGCGGTGTGTTCCGACTTTTTCTCAGGTGCTAGGGTGGTTTGTTTGTTCTGAACAGAGGTCTTGGGTGCTGGAGGGGATGATTTGGACTTGTTTAGAGGATTTTGTGTCTTAAGGGTCTTTTGAAACACAGTAGGAGAGGGACAACACCAAAAACCTTCTGGGGTTACAGCAATTGGAACATTTCTAATTTTAGTCTGACCCTGCTCAACCCTTGTAAGTCTAATTTCAGCCATAGTCCACTAGTATTCAAACCAAAATCAAGTCAATATATGGCATTTACAATGACAACAAGAAACCCTACAAATTATAATAGATTACTTAACAGATTTACTACAACATTTATTCCTCCCACTGAAATTACTAAAACTTTAAGTTAATAAATTGAAAGCAAAAACCTAATTGTTTATCCAAAAACAACAATGGCTATTTTCACCAAATTGCATGTAGTGCAGCTCACAAAAAAAAAAGAAGAGGAACTTTGCTCCACTATCAGCTATCTACAATCTAGAAACCTCAAAAATCAAGCATACAAGCTTCTAAAATTGGATCTCTAACTTTTGCAGGAACACAAAAAAAGCACAAGGTTCATAGAAAAAAAGAAAATCAAGAATTTCATAATGACATCCACAAAACCAGCACAATTATTCACAACCAATGATTCCTTGCTTCACCATGCCTAAACAACAAATCCGAATCTGCATAAAACCCCGTCTACCATATATCTCCACAGATCACAAACAAGTTTCGAGTATCTAGAAATACCCAAATGAGAATTTCTAATAAAAAAAACCCAGAAAACTGCAAAGACACACAAACAAGAGCGTAATCTGAGAGTTCTCTGAAATACCCACTCTTTATCACTTCATTTATGAGCGCACGAGCCTTTGAAAATGATGAATGAAACTTTGATGTCAAGCATCAAGGGAACCACTTTAACAGAGTGGAGTGATGAGTGTCTTTAGATATTTATGTATTGATAATGAGAAAAGTTAGAACCATATGATCCAAAAGTGAGAGAGAGAGAGAGAGAGAGAGAGAGAGAGAGAGAGAGAGANTGAGAAAAGTTAGAACCATATGATCCAAAAGTTAGAGAGAGAGAGAGAGAGAGAGGAATGCTATTTGCAGAGACTAAAGACATGAAATTGTCAGACCCACACTCATGAAAATCAAACAGCATTCTTGGACACCCAAACAAAACCCATAAACCATCACACACTCTCACTCTCACTCTCTCTCTCTCTCTCTCTCTATCACCCACACACACACACAATCCACTCTTCCCTTTTCTCTTTCTCCCCCCTCTTATTTCTTTTCTTTTCTTTTCTTTTCTTTTCTTTTCTTTATGGGACAAGCATGCATTGGGGGGCGTCTTTCAATCTTCTTGTTTCTTTTGTAGCTTTATTTTTTTATGTTTCTGTTGCTTTTCTGGAGTGCTTCACTTGTTNTCTCTCTATCACCCACACACACACACAATCCACTCTTCCCTTTTCTCTTTCTCCCTCCTCTTATTTCTTTTCTTTTCTTTTCTTTATGGGACAAGCATGCATTGGGGGGCGTCTTTCAATCTTCTTGTTTCTTCTGTAGCTTTATTTTTTTATGTTTCTGTTGCTTTTCTGGAGTGCTGCACTTGTTCAAAAGAATTCAATTTGCACTAAGGTCCTTTTGAAACTGTAAAATAACTGGAATGCCCTCAGTTATGGACGAATAGAGCTTGGGTAGAGGAGGAGAGAATAGAGAGGGGGGAGGGGGGGGGGGGGGGGGGGGGGGGGTGATGGGACTGTAGGGTGGTGGGTATTGTGGGGAAAGTGACTGACCATGGTTTTGGGTCATAGGATTATACAAGACAGAATAGCATACCGAAAATGATTGAAACTCTTCCGTCCAGGCATGAGCGAAAAAAAAACCTCTTACGTTCAGGAAATTCCTCTAGTATAAGCCTTATCTTGTAGTCTGTAGATGCCAGTGTTCCCTTTGGGATAAAGTAAAGAACAGTCCTGTGTTGTGGTCCAAGAAAATCTTAAGTTTGTAGTGGGTTTGAATCGTTTGATAGGTCAATTAAGTAAAAGTAAAAATGAAATAATCTTGTATATTTGATTTTTATTAATATGGGATTTAATAAAAAAAATAATGCTATTAGAACTTTAAAAAAAAATAACCTACTTTGTTAATCGTTATTGCTAAAAGAATGTATCTAGAAATGAGGAGAGACATTCATTATATCAATCTTATTTTTCTAAATTTTTTGAAAAATAATGTTACTTAAACTTAAAAATTAGATTTGATGATTANTGTATTTGATTTTTATTAATATGGGATTTAATAAAAGAAATAATGCTATTAGAACTTTAAAAAAAAAACCTACTTTGTTAATCGTTATTGCTAAAAGAATGTATCTAGAAATGAGGAGAGACATTCATTATATCAATCTTATTTTTCTAAATTTTTTGAAAAATAATGTTACTTAAACTTAAAAATTAGATTTGATGATTACAATCCTTAAATAGGTATTGCGTCTCAATAAATACTAGGATCCACAATGAAATCAATAGTTGTGATCATCAAGTCTAGTTTTTAAGTCCACGTAACATTGTTATTTTTTAAATATTTTAATTTGCATAATCTTTTGTGGCTTCCCGTTATTGGATTCTTTTAACATTTTCTTAACAANTAAACTTAAAAATTAGATTTGATGATTACAATCCTTGAATAGGTACTCCGTCTCAATAAATACTAGGACCCACAGTAAAATTAATAGTTGTGATCATCAAGTCTAATTTTTAAGTCCACGTAACATTGTTATTTTTTAAATATTTTAATTTGCATAATCTTTTGTGGCTTCCCGTTATTGGATTCTTTTAACATTTTCTTAACAACTTAATCTTTTAATTGGATAACTCCTCCTACCTTCTTATTCGGACAATTGTAACCGATCCGTGGGTAACTTTGCATTCAAAATACAAAATATGTAATCTCTTCCTCATGTAGGAATTTGCGGAACAAGAATTTGATTAATGTAGTAGAATTGAGAATTTGATTAATGTAGTAGAATTGAGATTTCATCTTTAATGGATATTTTTCAATGATAGTTCTCTCTGTAANCTACCTTCTTATTCGGACAATTGTAACCGATCCGTGGGTAACTTTGCATTCAATATACAAAATATGTAATCTCTTCCTCAAGTAGGAATTTGCGGAACAAGAATTTGATTAATGTAGTAGAATTGAGAATTTGATTAATGTAGTAGAATTGAGATTTCATCTTTAATGGATATTTTTCAATGATAGTTCTCTCTGTAACCAAAGAGTTTTATTTATAAAAAGAGGATTATCAACTAGTTGTTTTCACTCCCCTGATTAGTCTTTATGTCCACTAATATTTCATCAACTCTCTATAGTTAAATTAGACTAAAACACTCCAAGTAGGATTAATTTCCTTGACCTAGTCTTTCTCTACTTGATAGATCCTTCTAACCAAGTCACTTATGCTGATTAGAAAAAATTCAACTCAAACTTCTAATCATATTCATATATATATATGCATGCACCATTATAAAATAATATTTAATATGTAATAATTTCATAAAAAATGTATCTATGACATATGACGTGAATAATTCAATATTTAACCAATGAATTAAAATTTTATATATTATGAATTTTACCATCAACTATAACTTAATTAATATCGAATCATTTAGCCACAGACATTCCAACACTTCATTCTCTATGCTAGTTAACCTCATCTTTTGCCCACATCCCATATTTCTTTCTCCCTTGTTTCTCCATTTCCCATATTCTCTCGCTCTAAACTTGTGTCTTTCTCCTCTTCCAACCTCCCATTTTTTATGTTCAATTAACTTTCTACCCCCCATCTGTCAAATCTCTCTATCTATCTATCAACCGTTGTAGANATGCTGATTAGAAAAAATTCAACTCAAACATCTAATCATATTCATATATATATATGCATGCACCATTATAAAATAATATTTAATATGTAATAATTTCATAAAAAATGTATCTATGACATATGACGTGAATAATTCAATATTTAACCAATGAATTAAAATTTTATATATTATGAATTTTACCATCAACTATAACTTAATTAATATCGAATCATTTAGCCACAGACATTCCAACACTTCATTCTCTATGCTAGTTAACCTCATCTTTTGCCCACATCCCATATTTCTTTCTCCCTTGTTTCTCCATTTCCCATATTCTCTCGCTCTAAACTTGTGTCTTTCTCCTCTTCCAACCTCCCATTTTTTATGTTCAATTAACTTTCTACCCCCCATCTGTCAAATCTCTCTATCTATCTATCAACCGTTGTAGAAATATGTTGCATTGTTGTTGTTGTTTTTTTCTTTTTATGTGTTTTGGCATTTTTTTTTTGACCTATTGAAGGCATTATATGTGAATTTTGACATCAGTAAGCTCTGAATTGTTGTTTACATTATTAGTGCCACTTTAGGAGCAAAACAATAAGATAATGACGAGGTGTGTTATTTGATGCAATTTTTGGTGGTTGTAGATGTTATATAGGTCAGATTCATATTTTTACCAACTATAAGGTACTTTTAGTTATAGCGTATTTTCACATTTTTTCTCTCTCAAAATTATATAGTTCTACATTAATTGACAATTTCTAACCAAATTTTTGGTGTGTTGCGGAGAGTTATAATTAGGTTTATACAACTTTCATTCTTAAATTAGATGTATATTTTATGGGTGTTGCTTTTAAATTTATGAGATGATATGATATAATAACGTCACAATGATATGATCTAATAATCATGTCAACAAATGAAGTTAATTTTTTTAATTTTTTAATTGTATTACTATGTTCAAACTATTCCACTCCGGTCTACATTCTTGAAATATGAGTCCCATAACAAAAAAAAACAAAAATAAAAACAAAAACAAAAAATGTATGACAAATGTGCAGAAATGCCACATTCAAATGCTCCGAGTAGATTCAACTCATAAAATAGGAGTGTCATTTAGGTGTGTCAATTTGAACCCACCCCCAATTTAATAAAATATTTCATAGATTTTTTGATCTAAAATTCTTAATTAAAAAAAAATTGAATTAACCCGAGTTCTCTTAACCTAAAACTCAAACTTGCCTTGAACCATATTTTCGCCTAAATTAAGTTTAATTTTCAATAAGAATTTTATAACACGAAAATTGGTTTCCAACCTAGTTTTAATTCAAATTATGAAATTCGAGTTCAAAGTTTAAATACAAATAGTATTTAGGTTAAAAGATTTTATTGAGTTTGGATTCGAGTTATGCCATAATCTAAGTTTTTTAAAATTAAAGTTTAAATTGACTTCTCAACCAAATCCACTGAAATTGCATCCAAAAGAAAACCCCAGCATTTAATGAGTAGTATGGACCTCTCTTTTTGACTTGCCTCTTCTTTGGGGCATTATCGAAAAGCAATGGGCCGTGGCTTGGTTGAAAAGTGCAATAATGGAGCTTGCGAACGATGATTGCAAGAGGAAAAAAAAAAAAAAAAAAAGAAAGAAAAGGAAACACCTCTTCATCATCAATGGCAACAAATATTTGAAGATGGCCTAGCTGTATCATTAGGGGCTCTACCCCACATGTGGCATCTCTCCTCTACTCATGTATGTGGTGGGTCATAAAATCCTTCGCATTCGATACTATTAATAATGAAAAAAAAAAAAAAAAACCTGGTTGGCACGTGCTAGTACATTGATGACCTTAAAAGATGTTGGATTAATTATAACGTTTTTGGCTTTTTTTTTTTTGNACCTGGTTGGCACGTGCCAGTACATTGATGACCTTAAAAGATGTTGGATTAATTATAACGTTTTTGGCTTCTTTTTTTTTTTGTTACTGGTTGTTTAGGTTTGTGTGCCAACTAATTTCTCCAGTTTTGAGACTGATTATTATAGTTTGAACTATTTTAAAAATATATTTTTTGAAGAACAAGGGTGAGCGGCCTTTAGAGAATGCGATTTTTTATTGACAAGAGGACAAACTTAAACACTAATGATTCTAAGTGTGTTTGTTTTAGGTCTTAAAAAAGAAGGATTATAAAAAATAATAGTGAGCCCNCGATTTTTTATTGACAAGAGGACAGACTTAAACACTAATGATTCTAAGTGTGTTTGTTTTAGGTCTTAAAAAAGAAGGATTATAAAAAATAATAGTGAGCCCATCTTATCTCTCTTATACTCATATTTGAAAACACATCTTAAGCTCGATATTATCACTTAAAAAATAATACTGGTCCAGATGAATAGTGTGTTTAATACCACCTACAACCTTTTAAATAAACTCACTTTTTTTGTGGATTTATATAGAGCAATGCTATTGAGGCTTAATTCACTATGACATTTGGATTCACTTTAGACTCCATCAAACATTGAAAATACATCATTATATTAGCAAATTAGATCAGATTTTTAGGTCCAAATAGTATTACTCATTTAAATAATCCGGTTAGAATGTATTTGATCAAAAAACATTTTTACAAAGATCTTTAGCATATAAATATCATTATTTATCTTGAGAGTTCTTTAATAGTTTAATATTTATACTATTATTCAATACTCTATCTAAATAAAATATTAGATAAGATAAATGTGAGACCCACTACTTATTAATATTGAACCAAACGTAAAATGATAAAACATTATCACTATAATTAGTCAAAAAGTCAAACGGATAGATACTAGATAGACGGATTTGTCCAATTCGATCATTCTTAATACTTAAACCAAACAAATCCTCTCCACCCCCCTAAGGATTGAATTAATCATAGTTGCTAGAGAAAAAAAAAAGATGATTTTTCATTGTTTATAATCAAGGTAAAGTGATAAATAGGTTATTTTTGACGGCAGAGAAGAAAGAGATGAATCCCATTGATTTTCAGAATATAATTAAGGTTTTTCTCCTTTCATCCACCGGAAATTCAAAGTAAGGGTCGTCATTAGGCACGCAGCCTCAGGCCCGGAGGCTCACAGGGCTAATGGGTGCCCCAGCCCGCAATATAGCAACCTATTATCAGCTCAATAGCCCAATCACTGGGCCATACTTCAAATCATCCTACAGTCGAGTGGCCTGATGGGCTGGCCCTTTTAATGTCGTAAGGAGTCCTATCTACTATCCGGCAAGTCATGGGACCAGATATTTCTCGGCCGACACGATGGACAGGGACCATGGTTAGCCTGCACAATTAAAGTTGTAATAGAGACGAATTAAAAACAAAAATGTTCTAAATTCAAATTTTGGTAAGCCTTCAAACTAAATAATGAGGAATTTATCTTCATGAATATTCTAGTTCCAATTGGATATTAGAGAGAATTAGTTGAAGTGAGCGTAAATCGGCTTGAACATTTTTAAAGGTTGAACCAAAAAAAAAAAAATCATTGACCACCCATTAACAGAAGCCATGAAATTGAAAATTCAACTTGACTCTCTGGAAAAAAGTCAATCTTTGTATGCACTACTCTGTGTGCAGATTTAAAAAGGTTGGATTCTTTACTGGGTGGACATTAGGTAGCAGATCTTGATACAAAAATGGCAACAGCCAGAAAGCTATCTTTCACCATTTGCTCTCTGCTAATGGCTTCCCTTTTTTCCTTCTCTGCATCTGTTCAGTTCAATGATCCAGGTAGTTACCAATCTGATCATCTTACTAGTACTAACTTTTTTAATATCTACATTTTTTTGGTCTTCTGCTAATTGTTTGTAGATTGGTACTTTTGGTTTCCTCTATATGCCACCGCTGCGACTGTCAATTTGGTCAACGGGGTATTTGGGTACCAAAGAATCAGAAAAATGGTCCAATTTGCTCTTTGGCTTGGGGTGTTCTTGTTTATCAAGGTTGAAACTGAAGATTTTGTTCATGGTATTGCTGGGTTTTGGTCACTGGATATGAGGGAGAGAGTGGTTCGAGAGAAGGTTGGAAGTGGACTTGTAGTTAGTTCCATGTTTCTACAGCTGCAAGCACCATCAATTCCAAACTATCCCACAAAGGGGACAAAAGTGGATGCTGCAAAATATGCTGAATATGGTAAANTTCTTTTTATGTGTTTTGGCATTTTTTTTTTTGACCTATTGAAGGCATTATATGTCAATTTTGACATCAGTAAGCTCTGAATTGTTGTTTACATTATTAGTGCCACTTTAAGAGCAAAACAATAAGATAATGGTGAGGTGTGTTATTTGATGCAATTTTTGGTGGTTTGTAGATGTTATATAGGTCAGATTCATATTTTTACCAACTATAAGGTACTTTTAGNAGGGCAGGAGTTAAAAAGAGACTTCTATGCTTCACTATCATAAAATCAACTATTTCCAATATGAATCCAAATTACATCCGATATTACCGAGAGACTTACTTATAAATTGTGTCTAACCTACATTCAAAAAAAACNAAGAGACTTCTACGCTTCACTATCATAAAATCGACTATTTCCAATATGAATCCAAATTACATCCGATATTACCGAGAGACTTACTTATAAATTGTGTCTAACCTACNAACTTGACTCTCTGGAAAAAAGTCAATCTTTGTATGCACTACTCTGTGTGCAGATTTAAAAAGGTTGGATTCTTTACTGGGTGGACATTAGGTAGCAGATCTTGATANACATTTTATGGGTGTTGCTTTTAAATTTATCAGATGATATGATCTAATAACGTCACAATGATATGATCTAATAATCATGTCAACAAATTAAGTTAATTTTTTTAATTTTTTAATTGTATTACTATGTTCAAACTACTCTACTCCGGTCTACATTCTTGAAATATGAGTCTCATAACAAAAAAAAAACAAAAACAAAAAACAAAAACAAAAACAAAAACAAAAAAATGTATGACAAATGTGCAGAAATGCCACATTCAAATGCTCCGAGTAGATTCAACTCATAAAATAGGAGTGTCATTTAGGTGTGTCAATTTGAACCCACCCCCAATTTAATAAAATATTTCATAGATTTTTTGATCTAAAATTCTTAATTAAAAAAAATTGAATTAACCCGAGTTCTCTTAACCTAAAACTCAAACTTGCCTTGAACCATATTTTCGCCTAAATTAAGTTTAATTTTCAATAAGAATTTTATAACACGAAAATTGGTTTCCAACCTAGTTTTAATTCAAATTATGAAATTCGAGTTCAAAGTTTAAATACAAATAGTATTTAGGTTAAAAGATTTTATTGAGTTTGGATTCGAGTTATGCCATAATCTAAGTTTTTTAAAATTAAAGTTTAAATTGACTTCTCAACCAAATCCACTGAAATTGCATCCAAAAGAAAACCCCAGTATTTAATGAGTAGTATGGACCTCTCTTTTTGACTTGCCTCTTCTTTGGGGCATTATCGAAAAGCAATGGGCCGTGGCTTGGTTGAAAAGTGCAATAATGGAGCTTGCGAACGATGATTGCAAGAGGAAAAAAAAAAAAAAAGAAAGAAAGAAAAGGAAACACCTCTTCATCATCAATGGCAACAAATATTTGAAGATGGCCTAGCTGTATCATTAGGGGCTCTACCCCACATGTGGCATCTCTCCTCTACTCATGTATGTGGTGGGTCATAAAATCCTTCGCATTCGATACTATTAATAATGAAAAAAAAAAAAAAAAAACC